CTGTAATAAGAAGTTTCTTTTGAATGGATTTGATTAAAGTTTAAGTCCCTCGGTATAAAATAAATATTTTGATGGAGATGAGAAATCTGCTTCCTCGTTGGTGAATAACCAATAGTTTGGATCCAATCATTTAAATAAACGGTGTTAGTTTTTTTTTTTTTATATATAAGAATTGTGCTATAATTTCTAGTCACCGAACTGTTGCTGATATATTTTAATTTGACGAACCGGAATTTGTCGATGTTCTTTTTCCTGTTTGGTGCGATTGCAATTGCGGATCTTGACCTGGCCGGACCTTATGACCACAGTGTACCAATCTTCTGATGGCTACTTCCAACAGGATAATGTGCCATTTTATAAAGTGAATCATCTCATACTCATTTCTTGAAACTTTTCCACATAAGTTATTGTGAATTGAGCATATTGACAGACAACATTTAATTTTTTATCTTAAATGCAATTTTTTTTTTTTTTTATAATTACTGCTCTAAATGTATTGCTCTGTCAGCTAAAAATCTGTTTTGGTCTCTATACTTTAATTAAATAAATCAATTCAAGCTAAAATGTAAGAGGCTATACTGAGCCTGATCTCTTTGTATCAGAGATTTCTTACCTTTTAGAAAAATGTCACTTGGAGTAAAAAAAACCCTGCAACCCTGATTTGCATTTGTATAGCTCACAGCATGTTCATTTACATGTTAAAGCCTCCCCTAGAATTCCATGGGGGGGAGGCATGGGGGGAACACTGCCTAACAAAGTCCACGTCAATTTCTGACAATTTACGGGAGTTTTCGGCGAAGCCTGCAAATTGTCGTAAACTGCCGCTAACCTGAAGTTCCACGACAATCTACAGTGCCGCATATTGCGCACTTTAATCTGGTTTGGTCTGCCGCGGTTTCCGTAGCGTCGTGAACGCGCTTTCAGGAAATCCTATACACTACTGTTTATGCTCTAAAAACATTCTAAATAACTTCGTTTCGAGTAAATTCTGGATGCTACCCACTCAGGACACTTGGAATACATTGGACGAGCAGTATGGAGGAATATTGACACGTTTTTTGTGGACTTTTATGGACCTTTCTGCCTCGGGCGCTGGGCACCTCCATTATTTGAATGTCAGCAGACAGCAAGAAGCCTCCCAGATCTCCAGATGCATTTGAGATATCAAAAAAGTACTCCAGAGTGTTGTTCAGCATGGGGGTGAGTAGAAAATGAAGGCTAATCATGTTTTGGGTGTACTATTCCTTTAAACTCCCTCGACCTAGAACAAACTATTTTAAACCCACAGTGTATTATAGAGCCATTTGTCACTGGAACCGACTGCCAATAACCACGCGAAGAGTCCAGAACAGAACAAGCTTCAAAAAAATAATGTCTTCAGAGCTACTGCAGATGATCTGATGAACTGATCTGTGTATTTATGTTGCATATTTCTACTCTTTTTCATGTTCCTATTATTTCCTAATGTGCAACTTGTGCAATTTTTTTAATGGTTTGTTCATAATGTAATGTAATTTCTTTATGTGAGGACCCCAGGAAGATTATTGGCCATTTATTTGGCAGCTAATGGGGATCCTAATAAAACTAAACTAAACTAAACTAGGGTTAGATATAAAACACTTCAGCTCCCAATAGATAAAGGAGGTCTGGGTTTACCAGCCCTAAAAGAATATTTTTGGGCAGCACAAATTAAACCTCTGGTATGTTGGTGCAATGACTATGTTTCAAAATGGAAAAATTTGGAAATAGGTAGAAAGTACATAGAAGTTAAAAATTTAAAAGCACATAAAATACTCTTAGGCAAACTAAGAAATAAGCTAGATTCAATAACTAAAACTATGATTGAAATATGGAACACAGTAATTGATAATTACAAGTTAGAGAAAGAAACAAGGAGTTTGAGCTGGTTTGCTTGGGATCCGAGGTTTAAACCAGGTATTTATGATACGGGTTTCAAACAATGGGCAAATAAAGGTGCCACAGCAATGTGTAAATTGACTGAAAAGGGCAAACTGCTGAGCTTCAATAACTTAAAGCAGGGGTCTTCAACGTTTTCCAGGCCAAGGACCGCCAAACTGATGGTGAGATGGAGCGGGGACCACCTAATTATATATATTGTATGAAATAGTGTTCTATCAAACTGGTCCTACAGTATAGTCACTTTATTACAGATGGAGTAATGTAATGAAAGTAATTTCTCCTTGAGATTATTAAAGCATTTCTGATTCTGATTCCTGGTTGATGGGACAGGTGTTGTGAATGAAACGGTGCCCAGCTTGAAAGAGCTCCTGTGTGTCGCTGAATATGTGCATTGATGACTGAAAGACATCTTCTGCCTCCATTTATCTGTTTACTACAGTCTCTTGAATTCATGTTAATGTTTATTTAAAAGCATTTCAATAACTGGAAAAAATTGCAGGGGGAATATAAAAAAAAGTTCAAATCAACCAAAACTTTTGCGACCCCCATGCAGCACCTCCGTGGACCCCCTAGGGGTCACGGACCCCCTGTTGAAGACCTCCGACTTAAAGGGAAAATATGAACTGGAGGATCAGGACCAGTATAGATACCTGCAAATAAAAGATTATTATGAGAAAGAGATAAAAACCAACATAAGTAAAATAATAGAGATATTTCATAAGGCCTATGAGGGGAATAAATTACGAATTATTTACCAGGGACTGATGGCAGGCAGGAAGACATCTACTATGTACATTAAAGAAAAATGGGAGGACGAATTGAAGGAACACATAAGCGAGGAGGAATGGTTTAAAATTTGTAAAATGCAGTGCACAGCCACCTGCGCTCGTGTGTGTGAAGGGAATTTAATTGGAAAAACATTAGATTTTTTATAAAACCAAAGATCAGGACCAGGATGTTATCCAGTTCACAGCCATGCTGGCCACTCTGTGGCCAGACTGATGTAGGCCACACGCACATATTCTGGTCTTGTCAAAAGCTAACCACATACTGGCATAATATTTGCCTTATTTTGAAAAACATATTGGGTTATGGAATACCCAGATCATGTAAAACACTTTATCTAGGATGCCTGACACACGATGTAGTTCAAAAGGATAATGAATACCTGCTAAAAATATTACTTTCAGTATCAAGGAAAACCATCACAAAACGATGGTATAGACTAGACCCCCCCGCGGTGGAGCAGTGGATGAGCATTGTGGAAGAGATTTTTGTAATGGAGAAAATCACATATAGACTGAGATTGCAGGAGGACAAGTTTGTTCTTAAATGGGAAAAATGGTGCAACTACAGACGCAAGGAGAATACCAGTCTTGTATCCAGATAAATATGGTCACAGTTGTCCAACATTGTATATGAAGTTGAATGTATTGATACCTCTCCACTGTATGTGTTCAGAAATGTTCAATAAAAAATAAGAATAAAAAAAAAAAGCCTTTTTAATGATGACCTAGAGGGAGTTTTTCATCATCCTACCTCGGAGGCGGGCTTTTCTAATCCTCTACTGTTCTTCCAGCTTCATCCAGCTGCTGCTTCATCCTGCTCCATCTCCCTGACTGACTTCTTTGATGTACAGCTGTCTTCCTCATGGTCAACCATTCAGCCATCCTGCTTCGATCCTCCGCAGTTAGCCTCTACGACTAGCCCAAGCCAGCAGTAGTACGTGCCCTGCCTTCAGTTCTTGGCTTGCATGGTAGACGTTACAGATCTACCGCAGTGCTCCTTGCTCACCTCCTAAGCTCCAGAAGGGGGAACTGCTGGCCATGTCTTGCCCCGGTTCTGGTGCTCTCTCCCAAACATGGACCGAGGTCAAGAGAAATATGCATGCGCTCAGAGAGAAAGTTGTCAAAAACACAATGGACATTAAATCAGCCAGTTGTGACTGATCACATGAAATTTTCCATTTGGCTTAAGGAAGTCTTGTAGAAGCGAAGATAGCCTTAATGACAGCGAACCCTGGTTGCTTGGTAACCATACTGTTCACTCAGTGATGAGAAAAATTGTTCTCAGTTGTTTCTAACAAATTGTTAAATTTTTTGTATGTGTGGGAGTTTATTTTTCTTTTATTTAATATTTCAATAAGCAATAAACCCTTTTAATATTTGGGTTACATGGATTTTGCAACGGTAATTCTAAAATTTCTGTAACTTCTCAGGGCTTCTTATATGACTTTAACATACTCAGTTATTTGAAAAAGACAGCAAAGAAATAATAAGCAGGGTTTTAATTCATAATAACTTTTATAATTTTAACTACTACAAAATATTTTGAGACAAGGTTAATTTTATATTGTCCATCCCTAGGGTGAATGTTTGGTTTCCTTATGTTTTATTCTCAAGTATGGAGTAGTATGCCGACCTGCAAGTCTTTTAAAACAAAATGCAAGAAACTTTGAGTTTTTTCTTTAGGAATATACAGGAGTGCCATTTTATTCTATTATCAGGTTTGCTACACAACAGTGTGAGATTTCTTAACAGGGAGCTTGCCTATATTTTCATAAGCAGCACTTTTACAGACTCAGGGTTATACAGATGGCGTTATTAGTTTGAGTGATAGGGTGTTGAGCCTGTCGAGTCATAATTCAATGGCCTTTACTTAAAGACCTTGAAGACTAGACAAAACCTGTTCATAGTGTTCAGTATGATGTGACATTCTGAAAACCTTATAAAAGTCCTAAAATAAGTCCATTTTACACTTTAGCATAAAAAATTCTAACTGAGCATGGAAGCAGTGAATCCCACACATCAAGATACATTGCTAAGTGCTACTGTAGCACAATTACCTCTTTTAATGCAGCTAAGGTGTGCAACGTGGCACTTTACTGATGCAGTAACAGTTCCTGTTGGCTTGATGCAGTTTGGCAATGTGGCACTTCCCAAAATCTAAATGACAATAAACCTCCCCTCAGTATGAAATGGAATTTGCTGAAACAAAGCTTAGATACCATAGAAAAAATGGGTGCAATTGACGTGGCTAGACTCATAATGTCAGAAAGTTCTACAGTAAATGCAAGACAGTTTGATAAGTGACTCCATTCAGCTGCTCTTTTATTCAGGGGTCGCTGCAGGAAATCATTACAAACTTACAGATAGACTTGGCAGGGTTTTTACGCCAGATGGCCTTCCTGACAATACCGCAATTTAAACCCGGGTCCGCCCAAAAAGACTCAGACTTACCCCACTACACCACAGAGCAACCAAGACAGAATAAAGAGTGTCGGAGTTTGCATGACTTTTCAGCTTTTACTACTTATATTACACAAATTATTGTATCTTTACTTTTAATACATGCGCATTAAAATAAAGAACGTCAGCCAAATACTATGTGGCACAAGGGGACATGGCGTGGTTCACTTCTCCCTGCTTACTTGAGCTGCAGCATCAGATCCACTCATTGAGCAGAAAACAACCTTGGCTCCATATATTTTAAACACAAACAATTTAATATACAAGTTTGCAAAAACCCATATTTAAACAGCACTACCACTGCCTTTACTGTTACTAAGCGAGACATAGTCATTTGTCAAGTGCAGACTCCACATTGACACATGACAACATTTTCTCATGCAACACTGTTATTGCAACACATTCAAAAATGATTTTGCCGTTGTAAAGCGTTTACAAAACAAGAAGGTTGTACAACATTTAATGCATGCAAAAAGTTGTATGCATGCCAAATTAAACTCAGACGTTAATGTCAAACATTTGCAAGAAACAAAAATTATTATTTGAATCTGAAAGAGTTAACAGTGCATTTTATCTATCTCATCAGTATTTACAGAGGGAGTGCATCAGGGAAGTGACTGAAGTTTTTTCTGGTGCTGGACGGTTCAGTGACTTCTGTTGGTTGAGAAGTGACACCTCACTTGGGGTATTTGACAAACTGACACTCACTGATACAGAGTGTCCAACTCAGCTTGTCAAATACACTAAGTGGGGGGCCTGATCACTGGTAAATCCAAGGACAGCTCTGAGGAATACAGGAAAAAAATACTTTTATCATCACAAATAAAATACACTATTAAATGCCAAGGTCAGATGCATACCTTGTTTTTGTTTATCCATCCCTAATCAGATTACATGCAGAAGACCGGAGATGCAAACCTGTAACCTGTCGATGCTGGCTCTGTTGAGGCACAGAGCAGCAGCAGCAGCAGTCCTCTTGCCACTGAAAAGCTCTCGCAGTGATGACACCGAGCACAAGATAGATCGTTTGACCACTGAGCTTCAAGGCAGCAAAGAGGAAGTCAAAACAAGGAAGATAACTGCAAAGCTAGCTCTCAGGAAATATGTGGAAATAAGTGTCAACATGTCAGTTGTGAAACGCTGCTGAAGGCTTTAATGGTTTGTTGAGACGTATGCAGAAGGTTTGCCTGTCTGTCTTTGCCAACTATTTACTTTTTGTTGTTTAAGTAGCATGCTAAAAGTGCCAAGGCAGGAACCAAAAAGAGAAGAAACAACAAAGAAGTAGAGAACTGGAGGAAAGTTTAACTGTTCTGTTTAAATGGAACTTTAAATATGTTTAAATGCTGCATAGTTTTTTTTTTACAGTATCTGATGGTTTGTGTTTTAATAGCGCTTCACAAAGAATACATAACTTGTGTTTGTACACTGTCTCACACCACCCCTTTTTCAACTGCTAAAACACACTAAGCACAACACCGTGAAACTTCCTCATATAACTCGAGGCCAGTGCACAGTTAGTCACTTATAAGACTTCCCTTCACAGCTGCCACTGTACTATAACACACACACACTCGCTGTGTGTATGTGAGTGTGTGTGCGCCTAAATATGCTGTAAAGCGACAGGTCAGAGTGCCCTAAGAAATAGAGCAGCACCACGGCAACAGGACAGATTATTCCTCATGGGGACGTAGACGCACAAGCTGCAGGGAAAAGACCCCGGAAAAACACATAAGGTTCAGATGGAGAGAAACAGTGGCAACAATGTCGCTGTATTCTCTACCTCTAAAAGTTAGCAGTCAGTTTCAGCCAAGCTTAATAGTGTCTGAGCTATTTCAGAGGAATGTGTGTTTGTTAGAAGCACTTAACTCTGAGCTATCAATCATCCACTCACTGTCTTCCTTTCGTCAGGGATCACAGGTACCTGGTCCAGGAGGGAAATCCAAATATCCCTCTGATCCCCAGCACTTTCTACTATGTTTGGGGGGGGGGGGGGTCAAAAAAGTTTCCAGGCTAGAAGAGATATGTGTATTTCCTACCAAGGGTATGTATGATGCTTTCAAGGGTATGAAAGCATCCAGGTGCTTATGAGACATCCTTTTGAAATTTCTGACCTACTTAGCTCACCATAGATAATAATTTAACTTATTAAATAATCGGTGCATTTAACCCATCCCCCTTGGGAGCAGTGGGCTGCCATTATGTGGTGCCCAGGGAGCAAGGTTAAGGGTTTTGCTCAGAGAGCCAGAGTGCTGTGGGGATCGAACCAGGTAGTTGCAACTTTCTAAGAGCACAAGCGCACTGCTCTAACCACTAGGCCAGCACTCCCCATTAGATGGTGAAGCTCTGCATCCTTTCTCTAAAGCTCATGGTCACCCTGCAATAGTAGCCCACAGTGACTTCTTAAATGAAATAACCATATAGGGTTTGAATATAGACAGAGTAGCGAATGGTGACAACAGTGAATAAGTGGGACATGTACGAGGGGCGTTCAATAAGTAATACCCCTGACCCACTTCCATATGTTTGATCCAGCTGAAATTTTGCAAGGGAGGTTATTTAAATCTCTATAGATTAGTTAGCAAATTACAGCTCTGAACTATTTGTGGTTTGTGACTTACAGGTGTTTGAACTGAGTAAAGTCTGAAATGGAGCCTGTTGAGTGTTGAGCAGTGATCCAGTTTTTCTATTGGAAAGGATTCACACCACGGGAGACTTGATGAGATTAAAGCAACTTATGGTGATGATGGCCATTATATGACCTTGCAAAATTTTTACAAGGTTATATTATGGGAAATTATCACTATAAGTTACTTTCGTTTGATCAAAGGTCTCCCTTTCAAATGCAAAAACTCAGACTTGACTCAGTTTTAACACCAGTAAATCAGAAACCACAATTAGTTCAGAGCTGTAATTTGCAGCTGTTATTTGCATCTATAGAGATTTAAAATACTTCACATGCAGAATTTCATCTCGATCGTCTGGAAGTGGGTCAGGGGCATTGCTTATTGAACGTAGCCATCTTAGCATGTTGGGTTAATGCATTTTGTTGTTCCGTTGAGTAAAGTAACATATTTCCAAGTTGTTGTTGAATCTGCTTAAGGTCAATCTGAGTCCACATAAATAGCAACCTCCTAAATAAAGAAAAAACTCAAAAGCTCATGAGAACTTCAAAAACCTTCTATCCTAACTCCTTCCATTTTTCACAGTTCTACTTTCTCTTTGCCTGTGACAGAAAACGTTTGGTCCTAAAGGTTCAAATGCTTAGTTACTGAATACTTACTGCGTCCTGATTAGACCTAAACAAAGATGTATAAATCCTAATATGGATGTTGGCTGATGAAACTAACCAAGGTGTTTCCGCAAAATAAGTTGCAACAATAAAAGTCCTGTTTTTTTTTTCTTAGTCATTTTAATTGCAGCAACTGCTTTTTACTTTGTCACTGTGGTGAAGTGCTTCATGTAGATTATTGATAAAGTAAAAAAAAAAGAAACTCAAGAAATGTTCACAATATTTTGTTGAAATGAAAAACCTTCTCGTCTTTTTAATGAACTTTTAAGTAAAAGGCTTATATTTAAAGTCAATTGTCTTAAAGCAACTTTTTTATCAGCTCTTAGATTTTATATATTAAATAATTCTTGTCTCCTGCAAAACATTTGTCTATATTTTCAGTTATTTTAACAAAATCGATGTCTTATAGGCCTTAGATTTAAATGTATGATTGTTCAGAGTTTCATTTAGGCAGCATGAACAGTGAAGCAATCTAGCAGTAAGTCTGAGTCATTCTGCTTTAAATGCTTCTCACTCTGTTAATACGATGCCTCTTATCTCAAATTGGCAGTTCAGTGTGTTAACCATTTCAACACTTCTGCGCCGCTTATCCACAGACAAAGGGGAAGTTCAGCAGTAGAAAAAACCAACACCTCTCTTAAGCATTTAGTTGTTCAATTTCCTATTACAAAAATAACAAAAAAGTCGCAGAAAATCTCTCTGTGAAACATGCATTATAACGGCACAGGACATTTGGTGGAAGTATTTATAAATAGTTATTTTTCTTATATGTAAAAAATCTTTGTTTACTTGGTTTTCTGCATTATTCTGTCAAAGTTTTTCGACGTTGCACTTGGGAATGCTGTAGCTTGTGGCTCTGGAAGCATATTCATAAAAAGTTAAGGCAGAGCCGCCTCCCGCAGTCTGCAATCATCTTAAAAGGTACAAACTATTTTAAATATATATATATTTACCTAGCCTGCCACTCACTGAGTTTGTTGTACATTTTGGTTTTAAGTCTGAACCTAACCGTTTCTAATGGGATTATTGTCACACTGCTGTGTGTGACATTTGGGGGAAAAATAAACTAAGAGGCTGTTTTTTTATTTTTTTCAGACTGGGCTGTTTGCAGATATAAAGTTTGCAAAAGCTTTTAGAGATGATGTGTTAGTAAGTCTTGGTGGTTTCCTCTTTAGTTTAGCGGTTAGTAGATGTAGGTTTTAAACTTCAACTTTACTTTTCAGTTAAACTTTAGACAATTAAATTGACTTGAATTAGGTTAAAACAGTCAATCATAAAAAAATTTTCATATCACTTCTAGAGAGTCTGACTAAATTATTGACTTTTAACTGGGTCTTTATCAGTTGTCCATCAGGCTTCTGACACTCTTTTTAAGCTGCTTTCATGCAGTTCATTAGTCTGCCCCTAACTGAATAAGGATTTTTTTTTTTATATCATCTGGGTGCTGGTATGTGGAATAGGTCCTTAAACTTAACAGATGTTTTTGTGTCTCATGATGTTTTTTATAGTGCATCTTAGTGTACGGTGAGAAATCTTGACATTTTTCTTGGTTGTCACCATTTTTTTTATATTTTTTCCAGTTGTCGAGGATTTAACTGACCCTCAGGGGATGAAAGAGCAACACTATGCACTAGTTCAAAAAAAGTTTTAAAAAAACAATCTACTGCAGTGGTCCCCAACCACCGGGTCCGTGGGTCATTTGGTACCGGGCTACACAGAGTCTGAGTGATGTTTTATTTTGAAAAATATAAAAAATTGCGGTATTCTCTCCCAGTTACATCAGTCGGTGCATCTGTGCCTCTTGACATAGGTTAATTCAGTTCAAGACTCATCCTATCTATAACATCCTATCTTTGTGAAGTGGGATTTTCTGCGGTTACAGCGACCAAAACAAAGCTACGGAGCAGACTGGACATCAGGAGCGCACTTCGTCTAGAAGGGACCGGCTTGTAGTTTTATTTTTATGCTGTTTGTATTTGATTTTATGCCAGTTGTAGCATTTTACTTGATCGTAATCCCCACAACCCCCCCCACCCCCCCCTCCCACACACACACACACACACACCCACAACCACCCCCTGGCCCGTGAAAATATTGTCTGACATATAGCGGTCCGTGGTGCAAAAAAGGTTGGGGACCGCTGATCTACTGGACTTTGTTTTTAAGTTTGAAGACATTTCGCTTCCCATCCAGGAACCTTTTTCAATTCAAACTGTCAGATTTAGCGCCTTGTTTTGGCTTAGAAAACATGCAAATTAAACCGGAAATACAGGTCCGCCCCCCTACTGATGGGGAGTCATTGAGATCTTTGTTAGCCTGCAATACCCCTGGTCTATGCCTCTGATAAGGGGAGTTGTATGGAGCATGGTTGGCCTGGCTGAACACGCAAGATGTTTTTTTTTGTCCCCTGCATGGGGATGGGGGTTGAGATGATAGCGGGAAGGAATTAAGTATTGTATTTTAACTTTTTTTGTAATGACTATGATTTAGATGACTGAGAATCTTCACCAGTACTATTTACCAGTGTTTCCCGTAAACCCTAGTGGTCCGTGAGAGCATTGCAAGGGTTACATGAAAATATTTCATTTCTTAGGAACTAAAATGAAATAGGGCTGGGATCTGTTCTGATATGTGATAAAATATTCTGATAATTTATCAACTAAAAAGCAAGTTTTTCTTATATGTTTGAGTTCACCATCAGCTTTGACACACATCCAAACCAAGCGGAGGAACAGACTGGATGTAGAGAAC